TGAGGGTAATTATTTTTATCTTCAGACCCATTTGGTTGTCATCACACAGTCATACCAAACATTTGAATCTCGAGAGAACACAAGCTGTTTCATGAAAATAGGTGCGTTTCATCAGTGCTGCTGAACTAACTTCCATTGCCCGGAAAAAAAAGAAATATTCATGTATCTATATTGAAAAACGTTTTACGCAGTAGGTTTAGTAAAAAATACATGAAGTGAGATTTAAAAAAAAAAAATGTTTTTGAAAAGTTAATTGAATTTATCAGAAAATCTTATCTGGAAATGAGTTAAAATGGTGGTTTTGAATGAAACATATTATCCTTCAACCCATTAAAATTCTTCTCCTAAGCAAATGTAGATGTGGAAGAGTAATTTTCCCAAGTGTATCGTATTGCATTCATACCGCGAGTTGCACTGAGTGGTTTACTTTCAAATGTTAAGAAAATTATTCCTTTTTCTTTCTTGAAACAAAATATCTTTAGAATATTTTTATATTTAGAGATGTTTTAGTCTCATGGTGATTCTTCCATTCAGCTGTGGGTAATCAAAATTTCTGATATGTGCTGATTGCAAATATATAGCTGTAATATTATACTAGCTTTTTATTTTTATATAACTTTGCGTTTTTAAGGAATATGCAACAACTGTGGTAAACGGTGAGTACAAATTGCTCCTTTGGTATAGATAAATTGAAAATTTCTGAATCTTATGTTAAATTATTTTCAAAATGAGATATTCGTTAGGAAACATACGACGTTATAAAAGTCTTTAACATTACTTCAAAATAGTACCTGTCTATAAAGAGTTTACATATACTTGCATCTAATTACTTATTGCAGTTCTATATTCATCCGTGTATAAATGCAGTAGGTACTATATTTGTTTCAACTAAATATCAGTATTATATGGGCATTTAATGTTATACCAGCGTCAAAATTCTAATTGGCCTATGGATGAGGGCTGTAGATTGGAGCATTTAAAATGCATGTTTAAACATACGATCTATATTAATTTTATTTAAATGCTGGGTAGATTAAATCTCAAAAGCTGAGATTTTCTGCTTCACTTATGTTACCAAAAACTCTATAACAATTTGAGTGATTTGATCGTCAGGGTAATGAAAAGAAGCGTTGCATCATTGGTATGCACATTGTGAAACGTTATACTAGTCAGATGAATTTAAAAGTTGATAAGTCATCTAAAACTACACAGTTAAATACTAAGCTACAAGCTGCTTTAATAATTTAACAGCGCTTAAAGTATCGACGGTTAGAGTATGCAATGCCAAGATGTTTGTATTTAGCTAGAGCTGGCCGAAATCTAACCATGCCGCATGGATGCCAGAAACTGTGTCTTCCTAGATTCAAAACCCTTAGCTAAAATACACTACAGACTAATTTGCATTCTGATAGGAATATGGGAAGAAAATATTGTAGATCAAAATCATAATAACTGGTTAGTTTAACGTAAAAACTTACAATGTAATGTTTTTTACTCAATATTAATATAATATATTATTTGTATTTTGCAGCAAAAAAAATTAATTTCATAAATAAAACATAAATGTCAGTTATTAGTTTGCATTAAAAATAGACTTCTTTACTAAAACCAAACTGAAAGAAAAACACAACAATATTTTTTAAAACTTTTAATGACTTTATAATGATACGTTGAAATAAATGTGTTCGCATGCTAGGGATTTTTTAAAATATTTTAATGTTTTATCAAAGGTATCCAATAGTAAATTTTCTAACGGCAACTCTAATTATAATACTAAGATAGCTTCGTATGAGATCAAGTTACATATAGATAACTGTGAGGGGTTTCTCTTATTTTACATAAAAAATTATTTTAAGTTTTGTACCTTTCCTGAAACTCTCATTTTACCTTCACATTTTCTCGCCAGCATTCAAATTTAAAATCAGGTGAACAGATTATTTAAATAGCGAATCCTGTGTAAAACAGCGAATTCAGAGCGTGCTTTGGCTAGCCAGCGTACTTACTAGTTTGTCATTGCTGTTCCGCTGAATTGCTGATATGCCGTTTTGGCCATTTAATAAGTATGTCGCCGGGAAAGTTGTTGAGTCAGCCTAGTTAACCTTTATTTAAATTGTTAGTCCAGCACTGTATCTTTATCTTTGAATATATTGTGAAATTGTTCTGAAGTTCCACCGCAAGTCGTCGGCAAGAAGTACGAGAATCGTGATAAGAATTAATAATAAAGGGTTTAATATACCCTTCTTCAGTGCTGGTGTTATTCACGCCTGTGCAAAAAGAATAAATTAAGAGAAATTTCTTAATTATAATGTTTAGATTTTTAAATATATGTTTCAGCTTAAAATTAGCACAAGCGAAATTATGCTCATCAAAGTCACGAGGGAGGTGTATGTTTTATTTTATTAAAAATCATCATATTTCATTCAAGATTAATACTACTTGTATCTTACTTTACATTGAGAATCCTAGATATAGTTAAAATATATACCTAAATGTGCTTAAATTACGTAACATTCTAAATGTTTCAGGCTTCTAAACTAAATTTCCCATAGAAAATGATTTAGAGTGTAATGCTTCAAATTCACAAGAATACTTAGTAGCGAAATGCACCCCACAAGAAATATTGTGGCATTAAAAGTTTTCTCTAGTTGCTAGTAAATTAGTTTTCCTTAGAATATTTCTTCGCAAAATGTTGTACTCCGAAGTTCCTAACTAAAGTAATCAGCCAACTGATTAAATTACTGACTCAACCACATTTTTAACTGATTACGCCATAGCTTAAGAAAGAATTACTATGTAAGAAATAAAGGGATTAATTCTTAAATGAAAGTTAACATGTAATATAACAAAGGAACGCAGAAAAACAAATAATAGATAAAGTTAATTCTTAACTTTTTTCGAAATAAAAAAAAAAAATTATTATAGGAATGCAAATGGTTTTCGAGCTAAGCAATTAATCAGTAGCATTCAAAATGAGTAATTCTATCATCTTATTCATTTCTTATTTTACATTATATTTTTCACAAAAGGATAGAAATTCAACTTTATCGTATAAGTTAATGAAACAAGATTGCTAGTTAATTATATGAGCAACGAATTATATATGATTTCTTCTTATTCATTCACTGCAAAAGAAATTTCTGATTTTTAAAAGTAAGTTCAAGTTTAAAAAAAGAGCAGAAATAGTTTTATTTGCATGTAATGGAGTTATTTAATATCTTTTATTTAATAATAATATCACCTCAGTTGTTCCAATCCACAATTCAGTTTCCAAATCCACTATTTTGGGTTAACTAAAATGAAAATTTAAAAAAAAAAAAAATAATAATTAAAAAATAGAATGATCATTATTACTTCATAAATATATCTTTCAAAAAACTGAAGCATTCATCTAATATTTTCGCATTTGAAGGAGAAAGTTTCACGCAATAAATAAAAATATAAATCTAGATAATTGTAAGAAATTATAAGTCTTTGTAAGGAATTAAAAAGCCAAGAGAGCTATTAAATATCCAATCTGATTACTCTTTTTTTAGCTAAATTCATTTCTTGTCAGTCCGCGAGCTGCCGAGCGGATGAAAGCGTTGAACGTTGGTTGTCCGATCTGGACTCAAATCCTACAGAACTAGCTATTTGCATAAGTGTTTGCTTGGATTTCCCCACAGAGGGATGCCTTCGGGTAAGGTAATTTTGGCTGCCCCGCCTCGTGAACTCAATCACATTATAGACCCATTCCCCCTTTGGGCACTTCGTGGAAGTTCAACCTCCACTATTACCCCTCCAGAGGAGCAACGCACCACCTGTGAAACGTCTCCATTCAGCACTGGTCGCCAATTGCTACCTGTCAGTACCTGGGCGAGCCCGTCGCAGAAGGCTGTTACCCAGCAAACCGGGCCCGAGGCCGGCCAATAAGTGACCTTTCCCAGGGCCCTCAGAACCACCAAGTTCATAAATTTTATACCCCCGTGGCCGAGACTGCCTAGGTACAGATTCTCGCCAGTAGCTTCGCAGAATTCTCTACGTCGACTCCCGGGGGGGGGGAGTGGGATTATTTTAGGAAAAGGCCTCATGTTTGGGGAACGATTTCTCTGATATTTTATCTACGCTCAAAATGCCAGTGTTCAGTGGCCTCTCAATCGATCAATGCTTAGCCATTCTCTATCTTTGAAAGCTGTCGTAACTTAAATTATTCAAAATCAAGTTTTGTCTAGCCGCCCAGACTTTGTAGTAGTTAAAAGAGCATACTGGAGTCCAGAAGGGCCTGAGTTCGAATCCTGGAGAAGGTATAGACTTTTGTAAATGTATACTGTTTTCGAGGTATGAGGGCGACGGAAATATATGACGAACCAAAAAGTCCTCTCATGTAGTTTGGCGGTAGGAGAGGGCAGTGGAAGACCCTCGGACAACCGCCCGGTGTGCTGTCCTTCTAAACTAAGTGAAAGTAGGAAATCCAACTTCCTTCAGGCTTTCTGACAACCACTCTTCTCCTAAATACATAGACAAGACAGCAACAACTACAAGTTCTGCCTATTTAGAACTTTTAAATAAAAACATGAATTTTGCAGCATTTTTGTTATCTTTCATTCTAAGTAGCATTTCATATCATGCCTTTAGTTGGAACGCTTCATAACTTTAACGTTTTCGAATTGCTTATATAAAACTATTTTAGTCCGCGATATTTTCATAGGACTTAATACTGTTAATTTAAGTGTCTATTCTCTATACTCAGGAAAAATTCCACGACATATGTTAAGATGAATGACTTCTAAATCTTAGTACTTTCCACCTTTAAATTAAAATTCGATTTCAATGATTATAAAAATTTATGTTGATTGCCAGTGACTGTTGAATCTGATCGAAATTTAGAGATTAGAACAAGCATAAAACACTTTTTTTAACCTGATTAATGACGATGGTATTCTGATCATCGAATATAAATTGAAACTATTAAATAAAGTTTGCCAGATTTATTGTTCTTCTAACATTAAATTTTAATATTTTAGGTAGTTCATATGTTGATTGCCATAATGCTACTTTTCGCCATTTGTTGGCTACCTTATCACATCTACTTTTTGTATACCTATTACTACAGAGACGTTTTGCAGACCCATTTCATTCAACATGTATATCTAGCTATCTACTGGCTCGCAATGTCGAATTCCTGCTACAATCCCATTGTCTACTACATTATGAATGCAAGGTAAGCAGTGCATGCGTATTAAAATTCAGATGCTTTTTGTCTGCTGTTGAGTTTGTCAAATGTAAAGTAAAATTATTGTTAGAAGAAAGTTAGTTTTAAATTATGATAAAAAATATTTTTAATCAAAAATCTTCACCTTCTTATATTTTTAACCCCTTTAGTTTTTTTAAGAAATCTATGTATTCATAATATTAATCCAATCAAAGAATAATACCTTTCTGAAGGTTAACCATGCACTGTTCTAATATTTCTGTTCTTGAATTTATCATATTTATTATACCTTCTTACTATTTGATCATAGCATATGTATGTTATTTTCATTTCATTGGAGGATTTAAAAATTAATAAATAAAAATGCTTTTTTAGCATTAGTTTTATAGATATGCTAAAAAATTTGATTCTCAAAATCTCTGATTTTCTGCGTCACGTTTTTACAAAAAATCTATAATGAATCTGTGGGTTATTTTTATCATCAACGTAAGAAAAAGAAGCATTGAATCGCCGTATGCATTTTATATGGATATTTGTAATATGTTGATGCCGAAAACGTACCATGTGATACACATCATTTTGTAGAAAAAATAAATTAAATTGATAAATTGACAGAAAAGTCATTGTTAGTTTGCATTAAAAAGACACTTCTATGTTAATTAGTGCTGTGGTAACATGGAAGCCAAACCAAAGAAAATCATACTGATGTAAAATTTAAAATTAAGCTTATTCAGGCGTAGATTTTGAAATAATTTTCTTAAAACTGAGAGTAAAGACTGATTTTAATTTGGGTCATTTACTAGAACTGAAAGATTTTTATGAATGTGAAACACCTTTAGGAGATCTATTTAGGCAACGGAACACATTTTTTTTTAATAATGTTGGTTGCAGAAAACTGGAAAGAGGGACTTTTTTACCAACAGTGTTGAGCAGCAAATAATTTGCGAGCATCTATATTCTAGCATATGTTTTTTCTTCCATCTTGCCACTCGCTTGTGCATCTCATGATTTTCATACATATTTATTTAAATCAATCACATTAAAAGTAGGAAAAAAGTATTTGTAAGAACGTTGCTTATTGCTTTAAGTCACTTAAGTTATTACTCACTAAATTTCTAGATTAAATATGAAAGTATCGTATGGCCAGTGAATGGTAACACACTGGAGAGTGATAGATAAAGATATTTTATTTATGGCCGAGGCAACACCGTTTTCATAGTGCCCAGTTGTTTAATTAAAACTGAAAAATAAATATCTACATTTTTACGAATGACAAGATCCAACGTAAATCACATGGGAGCAATAGTGCATTTTTTTAATGAATTTTTTGTATCGATGCCGATAAACATGTGAAGTATATTTTTGAAAGAAACACACAGTGTAACAGTAAATTGGCCAAAAAAGAAGCGGAAAGCCGAATGTGACGTATTCCGAAGAAAGTGTTAAAACGTTTTGGCCCTCGATAGAAATCTTTAACCTGATTGATCTTTAACGATGAAAAAAAATATTTGAACTGCAATGTTATATAAGCTCGTGTATTGTAGATTAATTTGGAAATGAGATAAATATATTATAAACACTTAATAAATTTCTGACAGAAAGGTGAAGTACAAAAATTAGGAATAAAAGGGTCTATTGTAGAAATTTGCTTCCCCATTTCTATCTTACATCTACACAAATGTGCATGTTTAAAATTTTACGCATTCGTGTATGGATGCATGTGTGGGATTTGTTACCTTGAAATTTATTGAATATATTTGGATAATTGTATTAAAAGTATAAAATTTTTAGAATTATTATCAAAAAGTCCCTCCTATATAAATGATTTAGCTGGAATAAGCATATGTACAAAAAAGTCTGATTTATGTTTATGAGATTATAAGGTATTTCTGCCAGCTTCTTTGCATGCCTTCGTCTTGTAGTGTTTAGCACGCTCAGCGTGTATTCGAGAATTCGAGTCCCGGCGAGGGTTTTGCTCATTTTTCACCTTTCCTGCATTAAAAACTCCTAATGATTCTACAGTGGCACCCGAACTAAACAAAAGGTGGTACATGATGATTCTCCACCACCAGGCGATTGGGTCCCCTAATCCCTACTCGGCCTATAAAAGGGGGAGTATATGAGCTATTTCTCCCGCCTTCTTAGTATGCCTTCATGGTGTAGTGGTCCGCATACTCGGCGCGTATTCGAGAGGTCCGATGTTCGAGTCCCATCGAGGGAATTGCTCATTTTCTACATCGCCTGCTTCCAAAAAATCTTAATGATTCTACCAGGTAACCGAGTAAATCTCTGAAAAGTACTTTTCTTTACAGAAATTTCTAAAATAGAAACAAATTTGGGTACTTTGTTTCTGCGTTTCTAGTTCTTCATTTAAATATGAGAAATTTTTGTATCATTTGAATGCCGTTTCTCAAGAAGAATAATGCCTTAATGTATCCTTATAACTTAGAAGTATAACTTATAACTTAGAAGTAGTAGACTTTATCCTTATAACTTAGAAGTAAACATTTGCATCACAGTGTTGTTTTTTATCATAATTTACGGCACAATATTTACGTCTATGGAAGTTCTTTCTACTTGTTTCACACCTACTACGCCTTTGTGTGAAAACAGACACACGGTCGTGTTAGCCTCCAGCATAAATCATCTCTTGAAAACGACTGCAGAAGTACTGATTTCAGCCAAAATACTTTAGCCTTTATAATAAAGTATTTATGAGGAAAATGTTGAAAGCGGCGTGGGTTTCTTCTTTGAAAGAAGAACAGGTAAGGAGAGTTTGAAATTTACTACCTGGGTTTCTGCCAAAGCTAAAAGCGTACTATTTATTTTATTGCATTCAACTATATATTTGACTTCTTGTAATACTCGTGGCAGTGGCAAATATTTATGCACAAATTTAGGAAAAACGATTATATGATCCTTCGAAAATCTTTCTGATTGCTGTATATAAAAGCTATTTTATATTTATAATTATAGAAACAATGATTTTCATTTGTCTTTGCATTGAAAAGCTTTACCAGCACATACTATTTTCTGCCGCATACAGTAATGCAACAATGTTCATCAGCAATTTAGTCATACCATATTATGTTCCACAGTTGTCTTATTAATTCTTTATTAATTATAATATTATATTTTCGCTTATAAACGAAAAAAAAAAAGAAAAATTGTTAAAGTGATACTCTTTATTCGCTTAGTACGTTAAATTGATTGTAGGAATAAGAGGACAATTTAATTCTAGTTTGAATTTCATGAATCTTATTCTAGTCCCTTCATAACTCGTATTTTAGCATCTCATTTAAATCAACTGATGCGATATAACATATTTCAGTATTTTAATTATGCATAAATTGTACAGTTTAATTTGATTTATAGGAAGCGCATATTCTAGTGTAAAATATTCCGTTGGTATCGAAACATTTAAATATGATGTAACAGGAAATAAATTACAAAGATCGTGTTTAAAATCCATTTCTAATAATTCATTTCTTTCTTTCTTTCCTAATTGCCATTACCATTACAGAAATTACACTGTCGGTAGATATTTTTTTTTTTTTTTTTTAAAATATTTATAGCCCTTAAATATGCGAAGAACGCTTTTAAGGCATGCAAATAAAGGTATGGCTCTATGCATAATATACGAATTATTATGCGTATTGCACATAACGCCATAAGTAAAAATTAATCACATAATTGAACCGTGTGTACAAAAAATCATATTTATTTGCTGTAATGTACGGAAAATATTTTGTTTGTAATAATAATTAAATAATTAGATTGAATTTATTGTTCTATCCTGCTATCAAAAACCTTTCGAAACAATTTATAAACATATATATATTGTATATTTAATTAAGTTTTTTTTTCATATCATATCTTTAAATCAGAACTGCATTGCAAGAATACAGGTAAAATAATTATTTTATAATAAAATTAAATGATTAAGCTCATTATTCAGTAAATAAGAAAATGCAAACGTTTTATAACTATATGTATAGAAACTAGTGCATGTATTGCTGTAATATAGGTCATTCTAGTGAATCGTTGTTAATTTATAACAAGGTATAAACATATTTAAGGTAATCAAGCGTCATTTTAAAGCCAGTTATCAACATGAAAGATTTGAACTTACTATTTTTTGATTTAACTAATTTTTGAGAATTTTGTTAATAAAGGCAAAACAAAAATAATAGTTTAAGTTAATGGTTAATTTTATTCTTCAAGATACTTAAAGTTTCATTAATTAAAAATATTTGTCTCGCAATTATTCACTTATTAGCGACAATTTCTCGTTTGATGTTGCTTCAACGTTAAACGCAACATTAGCAAGAAAAACTTTGTTTTGCCTCATATTCTTAACAAACCCTAAGTATTCATGATTCTCTATATCAGGGTTTCTTAAAGCATGGGTCGCGACCCCAAGGGGGCCGCGGGACCTGCAGCAGGTGGTCCGCAAAATGTTTAGCAGTTTCAGTAGTTCTTTAACTTAATATAATAATTTTACAATTACCAAATATTTTTACACAATGTATCTGAAATAGATGAGGACGATACAGACGAAGGAAAAAACGAAAACGTTTTGACGCATTCCTTTTATAATATAAACGTTCTTTTTCCTTTCTTTGCATGTGACGCTGTCATTTCGTCTGTTACTTATTTAAAATTTTCACATTGTTCTATTTCTTAAAATTAGAAATTAAAGTTAATGACCTAGAACTGCAATAGTATATTACAGTACATGTGAAAAAATTGACAGTTTCACTCACGCGTGTGCCGGATTTGCGCAATACTTATGGGGTTTGTAAATTTTTGTAAATATTATGGGGTGCTGGGAGTGGCGAAAAAAATCTCAGTGATGAAAACGGGTTGCGACTGAATAATGTTTAAGAAACCCTGCTCTATATTAAAGACAATTAATTGAATAAATAATTTTCTTCTTTCCAGATTTCGAAGTTACTTTCAAGAAGTCATCTGTCTGCGAGGGCGATCTCTGAAGCCTTCACACACAGCAGCTCAGACACCTAAATCAGCACCATTAATGGCAAGAAGTTCCCTCTTGGTGTCAAACAATACACGCTCCTGCAAGCTGAGCATCCAGCGTGGAAGAAAACTGTCTCAACCAGTGAATTCTGCTTTATAAATGGCATAGTAGAGTCTGCATTGATGAACATGTAAAGAAAGGCTTATATCGCAGAAACGAAAGAATGCTTTGTTTGTTTGAAACACATTTGCTATCCGTTTAATTTTCTCTCATAAATCTAAATTTCTGGTTTAACACAAGGGATACTTTGCAGTGAAAATGCCAAGTCTCACAGTATTTTGAAAATTTGCTTTTGATATTATGGAATTTAAGTAATCTGTAATTGTGTATTTCTGTAAGTATTTGAAGGGCACTTGCATATTAGCATATCCACCTCGGAGCAGACTGGTGACTTTATACAGAAGAAAAGAAACGATGACCTATAATTAAAAAAAAAAAAAAAAAAAAAAAAAAAAAACTTAATTTATACATATTTAACATTGTATTCAGTAATTTGTCTGATAAATCAATTTTTAAACCTAATCACAAGCGAGCTTTACTTTACAAGCGAGCTTTTATTCCACTGGAAATTTTCTGACGATCACTTCAAGAACAGAATTTAAGTAACTGTCCTTTTAGTGACTGTGAAGGAACCAGGTACATTCCCATAAGTATTTTATCCCGGTTTCTTCCATTATAGGCAAATTTCACAAGCACATGTTTTAAAACTGAGTTTAAGACAAAAACTATATGGTCTATACGATCTGATGGATTTTGTAGTGCTGTAAAAAGAACGCATATGAAAATGGCGACGATGGATTTTAAAATAAAGAATAAGCTGCTAATGTGTATCGCATTCTGAAAATTTGGAGACTTTTATAAGGATGATTGCCACTACACGTAAACAACGTCTAAAGTACAGAACAAAGAACACCATTTATATTTTTAGCTGTATCGAAGAGGGACATCTGAAGCACTTTCGCGGGTGAAAAGCGAGAAGGGACAAAAGTCGAAACTCTGAAAACTAAATATGAATGTTAAAGTGATTAAAATTATTCAAAAGAGCAATTCTGAGATTCGGCAGAGGCGTTTAATCTTTGGGTACGACTGCCTAATTAATGTATTTTTTATTAACTGTAAGATAACGTGTAATTATACGTAATTTTATTAAGTATTATTCAATGTATTTACATTTCTTGAATGTAAAGTAAAATAAATGTATGCACTTTCTGTTAAGTGTTCCTTTAAAAAATAGCAACAACATTAATAAATTTTTAAGATGTTTATATTTTTCTTCCAAATTGATATTTATTGTGAAGTGGATAAATGTATTACTAAATTTATAAGAATGAATGACTTTTGATTGACAGTTCCTTACCAATACCCAAAATGGTAAATGCGACTAATTTAGTATAGGTTTGCGATTAAAAGCGTATTAAATAATCGTAAGCAAACGTTAGAATTTAAATGAATCCTTTTACAAAACAGAAAAGGAAGTCAAAATATATATTTCGGTGTAACTCAGTACATGAGTATTTGCCAATTTATGTTGTGCACTTGCATTCGTTCATTCGACAGCGGTTTTACCTCGATATGGTAGAGGAATAGATGATATAGCATTATCTCCATTACAGAAAATTATAGGCAAGATTGGTCTTACAATTTTGGAATATCTATTCAATCGCCTGGCTGTCAGGATAAGGACAGCCAGGCGAACAGCATGTCTTGACAGCCAAGCGACATTATGTTTTGCATAAACAAAGATAAACATCCCTAAGAAAACCATGTGTAAAAAAGGGCAAATATTCTGAAAGCATTATCCAAATTGATATTAAATATTTCTCATAATCATAAACTTTTATAGTGATTATTTTTCCAGAAAACAAATATCATGTAAAATTAGTGATCTTTGTCTTAAACGGTCTTATTGCATACACCAAATATGACAGAATGTAGAATAGATGTTTGATTTTATTTGCCAGCGGGGTGCCTCATGTCCGTTTTATTGGTGAAATATTTAATAAAACAAGAGATTGATGGTTATCTGTTTTGTGGATTCTGAGAAAGCATTCTACAAAATTCGTCATGATGCATCATTTTTAATATGCTCAGTTGTGATATTATGTTTTGAGGCTCTCGTTAAACTGTGGCAAACGAATTTAACTGACAGAAAATTCAAAAATTGCTCCAGCATTTTTCATTTCAGTGGAAAGACTATGAAGGGAAGGTTTTCACTAAACTCATCCGGCGATATATTTTTCAAAATCCTTGAAAGCAAAGTATCATATATTTATAAATTAATTCGTAAACAGATTACAATTTCAAATATACTTTGAGCATTTATGAAACAAAAGCATTTACCTAACTGAGACCTCATTAGAAATAAATATAAATCTATACATTACCATGAAACAGCTGATAGGGATAATGGTTCTTGCCCTTTCTGAAGAAGATGCAAATATCATGGAAAAATATTCTGAGCTCTGTGACTGTAAGGTATAACTTTACCTTACGCCATCGAGAGAACGGCTGCGGCACTGGGTTAGATGCCCTTCATCCTGTTGGATCCTGTAGATGGAGACTTTTTAAAAAAAGAGAGAAAGCTTAGGTCTTCCGAGTATTGATTATTATTATTATTATTATAGGGGCACAGACTCCGATTCTCCCAGCCGGCACAAGCCGGCCAAATGATAAAAAAAGGACCTGGGTAGGAAAAACAAACAAATACTGTAAGAAAATAAAACATATAAAGTCAAAAATCTGAGTCTCAGTGTTGAATTCCAACTCTATCTTTGTTTGTATTTATAATCTTCATCATTGTCTCTGCAAAATTTTTCGAATTTGAATAGTTCCTTGTAAAGTCTTCCTTAAAATTCTTTCTATATTTCTCTCTAAGCGATAAGGAGGGTATTGACTATGTTAAGTGACGAATACTGAAAGAACGACCAAAACAATGCAAGAAAGTGCATTGTGGGGACTATTGAGACTTAGGAGAAAATGCTGACGACCACTTGTCTTGAGCAGTGTAAGGTTTCTATGTTTGCAAAGAGGTACTGTTATTGTCAAGTATCATGTGTTCATAGTTGTAATGCGTACTTATAGTTCTACAATAAAATAAAATAAATATTAAATACATATAAAATATATAAAAAAAGTTGCTACATTACCAAGAGCTTTGCAAACTGGAACAGATGTAAAGATGAAAACTGGACATTACAAATCATAAAATACATTAAATGAGTGCTAGATTAATCATAATAATAAACATTATTTAAAACAAAACAAAACTAACAAAAAACCACAAGATATTAAGTAAATTAATATACGTACAGAGTGGGATGCGGACGGCATGGTGCCGGGGGAAAGTAGTATAAGGTATAACGGGAATATTCAGATACATAGAGAGATAAATGCAAGTATCATTTACAATATTAATCTAAACATCTCTCTCAACATATTCCATTAAGCTGCAGACACAAAGCTCTCTTTTCTCAAATTAAGACTCTACCGAAAATTATACCGTCAAGTAACGTACGATTATTTAATATTAATATCATTTGACAATTTTGACCAAAAGACATGCATTCAGTATTTTATTCAAGATCTCAAGGAAAAGAAAACATTTTATTGAAGCAGGCTCATAATGGTTTGCCTGCACGGTCCGTTCCAATATTATTACGCAGTAGTACCCATTGGAAAGTAAACATAACGCACGTCCATCGGCATTTGTTTGTAAGTAAATGATTTGATTTGTCTTAGAGCTTATGTATGGTTAGATCAAAGGTGCAGCAAAAATGGAAGTGCAAATTAAAAAATCTGTCTTTCATTTTTGTGGTATTAATTAGGAGATAAAATTAAATTTGGTTAGGCTAATCAGATACTAGATTGACTGTCTCAAAATTTTTTTTGTACAAGGGAAAAAACGCGGATATTGATTGAGTGGAGGAAATTTACGTGTTGCTCTTCTAATCCTATATTCTGCTCAAAGCCTATTAATCGGCTTTTTTGAGCGGAAACCAATTAATCACCTTTTCATTCCAGTACTTACTAACCGGAAGCTTATTAAATTAGCTTTTTTCCGAATGTCTCCTTTTAAATGGACCTCATTAATATATACGCGTTTTGTTTTTGGGATCGAATACGTTTTATTTTCGGTCAGTTTGTTTTTGAATTTTTGGTGAATTTTATTAGTTAATTTAAAGAAATATGTTTGTTTAATTTGTCGATAGGTTCTTATGATTCTTTAGAACAATTGTGGCATTGCTGAAAATGAGTTAGTTCATAAAAAATACATTCTTTCTTGACCCTTTATCATATCACTGAAATGAAATGTAGAAGTAATCCAGAGCTTATGATTTAGGTTTTTCTTTATTCTCCTGCTCTTCTTTCTTTATTTCTCTTGCTGAATAGCGGAAGTTGTTTTGATTTATTCTTTTACAATAGAAAAACCAATTTAATATTATAAAACCTATTTTATTTTCTTTCATTTTATATAACAAGATATATAAATAATATTCATATTATCTGCAATGAATACTTTTACTAACAAAAGGAAGTTATTTTGTGCAATAAATGTTTAAATAACCATCAGATCAAGGAACAAGAAATCGTTTTTTTTCGCGGGCTTTATATATTATGACTAATCGTTGTAGAGTGTAAGCTAGTGGCAAAATTTAAAAGAGTAATAGACATATTTTCATAAGCTCCAGAAGAAAATGCTTGAAATTTTGGAATTAGCTCTTTTGAGTGGTATTCCTAAAACGCTTTTTTTTTTGCTGTAAATTGAAATTCTCTATCCATTGTGATATCTCTTTTTGATATTCTACATAATTTCTATCAGGCATTAAACTCGCAGAATGTTTTCATCACGTAAATTTAAGTGCTTTTATATTTAAATGGTAACAGTTTACACACTTTAGATACAGTACCTGTGCATTTCATAGATTTAGAATTCCTCATGTTAAAGTACAGTAAAATTTATTATTTATTTTTGTATTTTCAATATTATTATATGACTGGGCTTTGCCTTTTGATTAAACGAAATTTTATCTGCTCGTGTTCCATTAGTTTCACAGATGGAAGTTACAGAAATGCGTTACTAACCAAAACCTGAAGCAAAATATAACTGTAGAAGTACAATTTCAGCATTATCTGTCGCTATATAAATAAAATTTTAGATACTTTTAAAATTATCTTAATTTTTTCAATTAATTGCTTTAAAAATTATATTAAACTAATTTTTCAATTAAATGATTTTAAAAATTTTGTTAACTTTACAATCCCGTTACTATTTTTGCCGACAGGTAACGTTACCTTCTCGTTCGCTTTACTGCCGTAGAATATAAATTCGACCGCTGCGCCCGTTGCTTTCCAACCTAAATCAACGCAGTTTCATAGTCAAGCAAGAAAGGAAGTGAATATTCATCTTCTCTTCCAAACAGAGCTGTTATTCCACAGGGCTCGAAACTCAGGCCAACCCTGTACCTGTTTTACGTCCATGATTCCCAAAACCGGATGTTGATTTAAACTCATTTCTCGCATGTTACGTAGATGACACTGCTTTGGCGATTAAACATGGGAGTCTTAAAGATGCCATTCATAAACTTCAAACACAAATTGCGAACAGTGAAATTTGGTGCACTCAGTGGAGGATGTGCTTCGAAGCCACTAAGTTACAACTCCTTCTAATACAGAGAAATAAGATAAAGAGGCGTAAGAACTATTACAACAAACATTTTAATGAAAGTATGCGTAAAATACGGGCAGTAAACTATCTGGCATTATGATAACCAAAAACTCACTTGGACTTACCATACAAAGTTTATTCTCAGCAAGGTGAATGCAATAACTCACAGCCTCTAGCCTCTGCTTGGAAAACGCTCAAACCTAAGCCTTAAGTGCAAAACGCATCTTTACGTCTCACGTCTCAATAATAAAACCAATTATCTGATGTGCATTCCCAAATATGGACCACAATTATACCTACTAACGTAAAGATCGTGCAAATCTTACAGAGCAGATTACTAAGAATAATCATTAATGTCCATTATGTCGTACCTATAGATATTCTTCACTGGGACCTTAAAATCCTGAGAATGCAG